GGAGTTGAAGTCCACTCATCTTAAAGTGGCCAAGTTTGGACAACACTGCCTTAGATCAAATATTTGAGCCAATGGATATTGCTAGAGACTTTCCATTTCCAAAAATATATCTGATTTCATTACTGACTTTAATTTTAAAAGCTATTTTATCATTCTTGATGACCTTAATTAATGTGGCTGTTATGAATTATAGGCTTTTAAAGACATATTAGTAAAGGATATGATTCTAGGTGTACATTGGGACTTGTTTCAGAGCGGGTGACATAGGATTGTTATGTATTTCTGAAATTGTCTACCTTTGTTAGGTTTTCAATTCAAATATCCAGTTTTTGTTGTTTACAGAATGGATTTTGAATACTTGCAAGAGGTACCCATTCTAACGCTGGATGTAAATGAAGATTTCAAAAGCAACAAAGACAAACATGAAAATATGATTGAGAAGGTAACACTTACCAGAGAGTACTACTTTTTATGTTTCCAAGTGACTGTTAATGATCAAGAACTCTCTGCTTGAATGTGTCTGTGGAAATCTTAGATCAGCATTCACCTTTGTTGGGTTCCATGCTGGGTACTATGCATGTACAAAAAGGTGCATTTGTGAAATATTATCAACTAACTTGTGGAGTATCATCCATCAGATACATGGAAACCCTTGCAAATACAGGATTTTCTGGGCTCTTAGGAATTCTCAGGTTCAGCCCATTGCAAATTACTGGACTAGAACAGGAAAGTGCATTTTGAGGGACACTGGGGAACACTTGCTTTGATTATTCTTAAATTGTGAAAAAATATTTTATTTTCTAGTTAAACATCTATTTGTATGCCACCTCCTCAAAACCACCTCTAGGTGGCATAGGTTTCACTACTCTCTCATTTCAGATGTGAAATTAATAAGCTAGTCCCATTACACACATACACAGAGAGAGAATCATAGCCCAGTTCAATTTGCACAACCTTCCAAGTTCTCTAAGAATTTCCAGAGGGCTGCCAAGAGGGTGACTAATAGGGAAAGTCAGCTTCCGCTAACCTAGTTATCCATGCCTAAATCTAGATTCAGCCCACAGGGATGGTAACCTTTTTCATACCCTAGGGCATTGTTCATACCCTGCCCTAAGGTACCAGTTCACGTAGCTTGCTTAACTCAGTCAACCACTAATTAGGCAGATGCCCTTGTTAGTGGTTCTGGCAGCAGAGTCATCTAACAAGGCCAGAAAACTTACAGGATAAATTAAGATCAAATTAATATTCTGGTTACCATACTTATGGATCCTTAACTGTGTGCATGTTCAATATAATCCCAGAATTTAGTTCCCACTTCTATTTAGCTTGTCCATTTACTGTAAACTGCTACTTTCATGCTTTTATCTTGCAGGTCCAAGAATTTTTGAGTACTTTGTAGCACTTCCCGAAGTCTAACTGAAGCAGAGTGTTCCCAGCATTCATATCACTTACTTGTTTTACCAATGCTGCTTTTGCTTAACCAGGTTCGACTTTATTGTATGGTTAAATATTGCAAGGAGCTGGTTTTCTGTTTGCTGTGTATCCAAGTGCCTTAGGTGAAGTCTGTGCTGGGAGTGATCGTCTGTTGCCAAAAAGCAGCTGAAGAGGACTTGCTGTGAACTATCATCACATCCTTTTTATAGCATGACTGAAATATTTTGGTAAAACTACTGATGTCTCTGTAATTAGTGAAACTTGGATGATATGTCAGATCCCATTACACACATTTCAGTCATCTATATTCCTGTGGGATGATACCGTAGGCTTGCAGCTCCCTCCCTAGAAGCTGGAGATGAAAGGGTTATCAAGCTTGCATTTGGCCCACAATTGGACCCTTAAGTAATAGTGAAGCAGATTTTTGTAGCTTGATGTAAGTTAGCAAAAAGGCTGTTATAGATGGACGATAGGTAAAGAGATTATTTTGAAGCAAAAGCATTCTCTGGGGGTGTGGATACCAGGGGTGGGTGGGTAAATGGTGAAAGCAGCTTTGCAATACAGGTTGCCCCCCTTTTCTACGTGTATTGGGAGGTTGCATGCATGTTCAAAAGGAGGGGAGCTTGCATCGCAGTGGAAAGTTTTTGGTCCTGCAGACCCCTGTGTCCTGAAGGCAATTTCCTCAGTTTCCTAGGTTACTGTATTGACATCGTTCGGTAGAATAAAATGCCAAAGGTAAAGCATTTTCTCTTATGTATCTCTTAACCATCCATGATGACTTCTCCTTGGACTCAGACTTGTTCCTTCCTTCACCCAGAAAGCTACGCCAAGCTATGTATTGCAAGTTGCATGGATGCCGAACAGAACCACCTCAATGAGGACCATTTAATGATTCCTGCATTGTCCCCAAAGGTGGTTTTTTTTTTATGTTTTCTGCATTAGATTGGTCTAGGGCAGTGTTGGTCTGGACTTCAACTCCCAGAATTCCCCAGCCAGCATGAGAAACACTGGCCTAGGGTATAACTGCCTGCAGCTGATTTGTATCTGATTGCTTTCTTGCTGTTTATTGATTTGAACATACTACTGAATTTTCCACTTAAGCTTGAAGTTGTTCTTTTTAGAAACATGGACCCATTTTATATCCTCAAGGGAATATTGGAAAGGAGCTTCAGAAGTAACTGTGGTTTAAATTATTATTCTCTTTACCATGGCATGTTTTAAAACTGCAAAGCATCAAATGATGTAGCCCTCTGAAATAGATTTATTTTTATATGGTGTATTTAGATGTAATCAAACTAATCCAGGCTTTTAGCATCCAAAGATTCTGTGATGTATGATGTGTGATGTACGCTTCATTTTGTTTGATCATGTTGGAAACCTTTGGGCTGAAATAAAGATTGAAAACACCCCATTTCTGTATTCCTCTTAATCATTTGACAATATAATTCATAGATTTTAGTCTGGATTTATGCTGCTTTTCCTTTTAAGAATGCTAAGGTGGGAGAACTTTAAAAAAAAATTAGGGATATTCTGTGTTCGTATTTCCAGAATATCCTGTGTTGAGGCCTCCAACTTTGTTGGCTCAAATGTTTATAGAATAAAGGGTGTTCAGGCCAGACCGGCAGGTAGGCACAGTTGTTCTCTGACACGTTTGTAGGCATGGCAGCTGCTCTGTGCACAAATAACTATATCACCCAGCAACCGTGTTCATCCACCTCCTACTGAGCCCATAAACATTCTTTGTATTCATTGTTGCAGTTAAAGCTGGTTTTACTCGGGGAAAAAGTCCTCTTAAAAGCACAGTGTACCAGTTGCAAAAGGATGGTTGAACTAGACCCAGAGCAAGAAAAATCAACCACATATTTGATTTAAAAATGGCCATCTCAGAGACACCCAGGTGTATTTGGTGTCTTCCAAAAGGAGCTTTGTATTTGTTGACGAAATCCGAACTCCGAAAGAAGGGTGGACATAGACACTGTGTGCAAACCCAGCCTCGGTACCCCAATACTTTGCTCAGGATGCTAAGCCATAATGTGGTTGGTCAATTTTGGTTTAACAAATAATGAGGCTTATAGAAGGGCTATGAGAATAATTGGGAAGTGCTTGGGACCTCATGTGAACACAGCATCTCTCTCATCAAAGTAGGCTGTGGTTTCTTAGGATTCTGTACAAGCCTGAAAGAGTGCAACTGCTCTAAATAGTTGTACTAACTTTAGTGAGGGGACTCAAAACAACTGCTACTTTTTCAGTTTCACATACGTATGTTGGGCTCATGACCTCCAGAGCTCTTCGTTCTGAACCACTTTCAAAGCATGCATGCCACCCCAGTTTCTAGGTTTATGGTTTAGATCAGCATTTTTTAAAATAATTTTTTATTGCTTTTAAAATAATGGCAAAGAAAAAGAACAAAACACAAAGACAGTTTTAACAGAAATACTTACATTATCAAAGAAAAAAAAAATTCTATGTGTTTTCCCCCCCTAAATCTGTGTTTCTCAAACTTGGCAACTTTAAGACCTCTGGACTTCAACTCCCAGAATTCCCCAGCCAGCCAGGCTTACTTAGAGTGATGTGTGAACCCAACCAGTTGTGTGCGTTTTTTTTTCAATAAACACAGTTTAAATGGCTTGGCTGACAACTTTCCAACATGCACAACTGATGGATGTTACTAGAAGTGGTGACATTTGCCTTTGGGAATTCCCCCTTGTGGTTGCCTCATCTTAGCAGTTTGGTTAAAAAGAATTGGCTGGGTGGTACTGGAACCTGTTTGATTTTTTTAATGGCTAAGCTGGGACACCCAGATGTTGGTTGCAATCAAGAGGGCCACTAGATGGCAGGACAGAGTATTTTCTGTATTCCTTTGCCACCACTTAGTGGCGGTGTGATTTATTTGTGAGCTCTAGCAAACAGCACTATAGTATTAAGAGCAATGCTAATTCACGATAAGCCATGGAGTGGGCAGTGGATAGCCCATTTAATTGTAGAAGCTAGCTTTTGAGCTATGGGGAAATTGAAAGAAGTCTGAGCACCGAGTAGAATGAGTGGCTGAAGTTGGGATTTAAATTTGTAGAATTTTTAATTTCTGCAGCATCTCGATACCCACGTTTGGAACAACACTGCATTCAACTTTAATCATTCTTCAGTCCCATATTAGTAGGGATCTACTCGCTGTTTCCTAAAAACTCACTGTATACATCCTAAAAGTTTTCTTTTTTCCTTTAGCCAATGTTATAAACAACAATAAATATTTAGGGCTTTTATTTGGTGTGGTTTCTTTGCCAGCAGGGAATTCGCAGTCACTTCCAAATCATAGCAACTGCTTGCTGGGATTTATAAAACCCTAATTCTATCAGGTAATAAAAATCCACTTTTGGAAACTCCTTTTCCTACCAGTTCCTTTGCTGAATGTAACCGACCGTGACACAACAGCTGTTTCCCGTGGGCTTCTTGGCCAGCAAACGCTGTCCTGCACAGAAGTCTCTGAAACCTTGGCCGAGGTGGTCAAGCCACAGCTTCCACAGTGGGCCACGTCCAATCAGGAAAATGCATAGGGGGGCCACATGGGGCCGCTGCTGGCTCGCTCTTCCCCAACGGGGATTTGAAGCCGCCAACCTGCGGTAGACAAATCAAGAGAGGTCACTGTTTTCCTGTGCCCCAAAGCACAGCGTTAAGTCCTTTGTAAACAGCCTTCTGAATTGGCAGGGAGTAAAAGGAAGCCTGAAGGATTTAAACAGAAATATTGTCTATATGCTGAGAACTCTCTGACGGCATAAGGTTTTCTTTTGACTTCCCAGCTGTTCAGCTCTGCGGTGAGATAGAAATGCTTAGATAATGCTCATCCTGGCATGGCTGCATGAGAATTATCTTCCAGGCAAAATGGATCCGGCCCCCTTCCAAACAGCTAGCCCTTGTCAGGTTGCTCCACAGGTTAGCAAAAAGAACAGCCATCACTAATATTAATCTAATAATTAATCTAATCTAATGGTAGGTCAAGTATCTACCATAGCGTTTCTCAACCTTGGCGACTGGTTGAGTTGAAGTCCACACATCTTAAAGTCGCCAAGGTTGAGAAACACTGACCTACCATATACAGTCAGGTCCAGAAATATTGGGACATCGACACAATTCTAACATCTTTGGCTC